ATTATTGTCCAAAAACTATTAAAACACATCAGTAATCCACACTGTTACATGTCCCTTCACTACTATCAACACAAACACTGGAGTTTATTTTGACTCAGTCCCACACACACACCGTCCTGTTGCTGGAAACACTCACTAGAGCACCAAACGCAGAAAATAGTCCCCAACAAAAGCTCTATTTCCTTCTGTTTGAGTAACATTTACTAAAATGAAACAATATATCTGTGAGCTAGATTTATGTCTTCAGTAGTTATCAATGCATTTCGGTCTCAGAGCCACAGATCTGTATACATTATTGGCGATTTGTTGCCAATAAGAAAAATATAGAATAACACCAGACTGATCATTAAAAAGGTCAGAAAGCAAACGTTATCTGCTGATGAACAAGTGGACGTTGGGTGGTGATCATAAGACAAACACACAGCTTTTAAATAATGTGACTTTCAGAGAGGTCACATGACAGCAGTGTCTTATCTTCCAGACAGGTGGGACAACGACGTTTCCTGCTGTGGAAAAAGCTGAACATGGCGTGATGACATCGTTCAGGAAACAGCAGAGGAAACGCTGACGCCCTTCTCTCACTCTGACCTGGGATCAGAAACCAGCTGATCTCAGGTCAGACCCACAAACCTGAGCTCAGAACTGAACCTGCTCCACCAAACTGAAACATTTTAATTTATCCAAAATCAAAAGCTACATGATCAGAGATTATTACTCGTTAAAATATTATTTATATTCTTAATTTATCTAAATTTATCTTAATTGGTGATTGACAATCAACTCTTTTCAAAACGGGATTCAGTTTAACAAAAATGCTAAATATCCTCCAGTTCAAAATGTGAGAATTTGTTGCTTCTTTAGTCGATATTCTCAGTTTTATATAATTTAAAACTGAATATATTTGTATATTTTCAATAATAAATTGCTTCAAAAGTAAACTTCATAAGTTTCATAAGTAACACCAGAATAAAGTTTTTAGAGAAAGAAACCCTTTGCTTCACTTAACAAAAGGGTCTCAAATGTTAAATATTCTCTAAACACAGAATTTTTCCTGAAAAGTATAAATGTTAAAAAGGAGCACTCATTCAGTGGGGTTGTGTTTGAGCGCCACCTGCTGGACATTTTAATACGCAGACTTCTGTTTACACTTAAGATTGATTAGTCAGTTCAGAGTTCTTGTCTATATTGTTTTAATCAGAGCTGTATTCAGATTCAGTTACTAATTACCTGTTAAAAAATGTAGTCAGTAACCTAATCCAGGTATCACAATGTTAAAGTAACGTAACTTGGTTACTTTACGTTACTTTTGGATTACCTCAACACCAAACATGTAAAGAAAAAACAAGAGAAAACAAATATTTAACATAAAATATAAAATAATAAGATGATGAACAATGCAACCTTAGAAAAGAAAATGGAAACTAAGATATTTTGCATCAAAAATAAGAAAAACTGATGAAACTTTTACCAAATGTAATTGTAATCTAATAACATATTATGGTAACTGATAACAGTAACCTTATTTTGTATCCTGATTACTCACTTACGTGTAATCTGTTCTTTACAATAACAATAAATGAAAGGACTATGTGACGCTCATGCTGATGAATTATCGGCTGAATCTGCAGCTCCTCCCGGTTTCACTGAGCTTTATCGTGAGTTTCATCTGTTCTGGTTCAGTCTCACTGATCTTATTGTTGTTTTCAGCTGCAGCAGGTTTCAGTAATAAAACTCTAAAAATTCACAGTGCACCTGCTCAGCACATCTGTGGTCTGAAATTACACTTTTAGGTCATTGTGTGTCTCAGATTTTTAGTAAATTGTGCATTTCTTCTGATTACAACGCCAGAAATAATGAAGTTTGATGGTTTATAATCATAATTTAACAAAAAAAAAGGTTGAAAATGATTAAATAAAATATTTTAAGTAAAACTAACTCAGTTTTGTAAGTTACAAACATTATTGATTAAGCAGCTTTTACTAGTAGTTCTAAGTGACACTGACTTCATTTTCTAATCTTTATTTCTACGGTGAAAACAATATAGCTAGTAAAAAGAACTTAATCAGGAATCATTCTGTAACTTACATATTAGGCTAGTGTCACAAAGTCAATAGCTGCTTAATCAAGAATGTTTTTAACACACAAAATTGAGTTTGTGTTACTTGTAACTTGTCGTATTACAGTGAAGTGATGTTCACAGTGGGGGCCATCAGAGGGGGCCAGTGGGGCCTCAGCAAATTTGAGGGAAAATACAACAAAAAATCTAAATTCTAAATTATGTGTACTATTATAAAATATATATTATAATAATGATTTTAAATACAAAGGTAATTATTATTGCAGTAATAAAAGTAAGGAAGTATATTCAGAAATGTTTTTGTTGTTGTATTTCGTCATTAACTACCTTCATCTGTCGGGGTGATTACGATTAACTTAAATCAGCAACCGGATTTGTCTGTATGTTTTCAGGAATAAAAAGGCTGTAGTGCAAACAAATGAAATAAAAAATATAGTAAATAAAAGTAAAAATCACTTTTTATTT